ACCCCTTCTAAGACACGCTTTGAACTTCTCTGCCAAAAAAATCAGTCACGACACGGAAAAAGCTCATTAAAGGGCACATGAAATAAACCTGTGTGTTTGAACCCCCCCAGCTTCCGGAAAAAAAAATCCCAAAGCCAGAAAAGACCCATGTGCCTGTGACCCACCTGCCGATGATATCTCAATGTGTGTTAAGATTCACCACTGCTTTCTCGCCGTTCCGCTGGTAACGCCTGGCTAACGGCAGCAAGCCGTTAGTATGTAAAGCAGTTTTACAGTAGCATGTAGCCACTGGCGGGGGTGTATGATTTCCCTGTCCGGTCAAACGCGGCCACTTAAATACGTCTGACTTCACACCTACGCGCTCTCAGGCGAGTCTCTGGTGTCTCCTACAATGCAGACAGTGGGAAACGTTCCGGGGGATTCTGCACGGTCTTCTCCGATTCCCAGGAATGTGAGTCATGCAGTACCGAGCAGCAACGGCACTGGTGAGTGGGGAAAAGAGAACAGGGGGCCCAGTAGCACACCCTACGGCACATCACCGATACTGGGCTGCAAGAACATAGAGTAGGTCTGGGGGGGACATGTGGGAATGGGGGGGGGGGTGAACAATCCCAATCATGAGCAACCCAAAAAGTGTGGCGGGGCTGTTGCACTTAAATCCCCAACCCAAAGACGGTGGGGGTGGGGGGTACCACTTAAATCCCCAAGATTGACAGCTCTATTTCCGGTTCAGAGACCCCCAGCCCCTGGCTACTGTCAACCATCAATGACATTGTCCATGACGACACTGAGGATGCTTCATTCCTAAACCAAACCTGCCCAGGGTTGCGACTGACCCAGAGGAGCAGCCAGGAGCTGGGAATGGGGGTGTATGATGGCCACTCAAGCCTGTGTGCGAGTGTGCGTGTGTGTGTGAGAGAGAGAGACTACATAAGGGCTTCCCACCCCCACATACAGCGTTCCCACTTAAGGACACTGGACTTTCAAACAAACAATCTGGCCAGCAGCCGTCAGCCTTGCCACAGTGGTCTAAACCCTGAAGACCGCAGCAACTCAATGAAGGCAACTGTCCCCTGGAAGAGGCATCATGCCATGCCCTGGGTACATCTAGGATTCAACACCACCTCCACGACAAACACAAAAAGATCCTTGGAAAGTGGATAGGGGAACCGCAAAGCTAACACCTGACAGGAACAGATGCATTTGATGGCGTTGATCACCCGAGAGACCTGGCTTTGGGGATGCTGACCACCCAAACACCCTGGTGATTGCAGGAGTGGTGGCTGGTGCCTTATCGCCCGTCCTGAGCCATGCCATGGCATCCGTTTGCCCTCAGGCTCACTCTCCTGGGGCATCTGGCTGCCACAGTCAAAGAGTTGTCTGGCATGGAAAGGCCGGCCTCTTTAAAGATTAATGATGGCAGGACTGGGCACACGCACTGGGGGCTGGATCAATAGGCTGGGTGTTATTTTTACAGAGGTCCTATGGGTACTGAGCCCTCAGTGATTGGGGGGGGGGGGGTGGAGTCAATGCATGACATTCCCCAGTCCTACTGAGCTCCATCTGCTTAGCCAGTCCAGGAGTATGCAGAACCAGAGGAGAACCCAGATGTCAGAATGATGTAATGGTGACCGGTGGCAGCTGGGGGTGGAGCTCTGGATGTGCATAAAGACAGTGTGGAAGATCTGCTAAATAAACAAACAAGAACATGAGTCCTGCTTACGAGCTGCCCTGGCATGCAGGCTTCTGGAGAGCTAGGGTATTCAAACTGTCCGTGCTCTCCTGATACACCATGTTGAGGAGGTGGAAATAAGGACTGAAGCACAGCCGTTGAAACCACATGGTTGACCAGTAGGGGTCTCCGATGAGTACAGTGGGGCAAATTTAACATGCCGTCACAACTGCCCCCCCACCACCACCCAAAAGTGTAATTAAAAGGCTGAGGGTATCATAACTGAAGAAAAGTTACAGGGGCAGACATCACTGATAGACAGTTTGGCTGGAGGTTACGTACTTATGCAAATTTCACCCAGTCCCACTGTAAGCATTCCCTGCTCACCCTTTCCATGACCACTGACATCAAATGGAGAGCTACTCAGCTCACGGCATGAAAGACGACAAAAGCGGCCAAAGAAATGGCAACAGGAACCGGAGGAGGGAGGGTTTCCTGTCCATCCCAACTCCCCCAGGGGGAGCTGAATCATTACGCCCTTCAGGTGACCTTCTCGCGGTCATGCCACAGCCGAAAACTGATGCCGACAAAGGCTGCTGTCAGAAGGGGGAACCGCTTTAAACCGACCACAGGAAACCAGCGTCCGTGCTGTGGCGCACGGCAAAACGGGCAGCAATTCCAGACTTTCCGTGCACAGACCCCACATCTCATATTCCAGCTAGATTACTTAAAGTTACAGAGAAATAAAAGAGAACTACGAAACAATACTAAAAAACAGACACATACAGGGCCATGGACCAGGCTGTCACACCTAGGATCCAGGACTGCCTCCCGCGTCCACAAGCGATGGGTATACCTGAGGCACCAAGAACACTATCCTTGCTATCTTTGCTTAGAGAACAGGGGGTCTGGCAGGGGTCAGGAAAGCCAGGCTAACTGCTAACAGATCTATGGTTCCATAAAGCCGTCCTAAAAATTCAGCCTGCTAGTTTGCACTAGTAAAATTAAACCATGAGACAAGGCTGAATGGTAACTAAAGCCAGACAAGGGGGTAGAAAGGAATTGTGCTGTGCTGGGAGGGTTTAGAGAACACCGGACCATCAGTGCTGACTGGGACCGCAGTCTGAGTTCTCCGCTCACTTAATTAGGATCAGCTGACAGCGCAAGCTCCAGAGACGGTTCTCAATGTTGGTCAAATGTCTGGAGTGTTCCGGAAAAGTCACATACACATTTCTCTTGGGGTGAAGGCTGTTCATTGGCAGCTCTTTTATGCCTAGTTAAATTACATGTGCATGGTTGGGATGCTCATTTCTGTCCTAACACTGGGCTTGTCTGAAGAGGAGATTTCCCATAATGCACTTTGGCTGCGAGTTCCTGGGCGTGTCTGAGCACATATGCCGAAACAGAAAAGGCTTCACCGCCCCTACCCGTGCATACAATGCAACTGTGGAGGACTGGAGCGACCCCCACAACCATTTGTCAGGCCTGCAGCCTGTTTAAACAGCAAAGGAGCTAAGAATACACAAATAAATAGGACAAAGGGTTTTGCGGGGGGGGCACAGCATTAAGGCTTATAATAAGCAGAGGGGTACTCAGGGATACTGTGATGTGGGGAGGACACCTGCGTGGCAGCAGGAAGGAGAGACCCCG